TGCAGGGTCAACTACAGAACTGAGACTATCTGTTTCAACACTTCCAGCTGAGCCAGGTGACAAAACCATTTGCTGACACTGCTGTATTGGCTGCTGTTGTTGTGCAATATGAACTATATCCTGCTGTACAGCTTGTATGGCTTGTTGGGTAAGCGGAGGGACATACTGAGGGGTCACAAGGACAGCAGTAGGCAGAGCATGCACCTGGCTTGGAGGCTGGCCTTGAGTGTGTTGCTGGAGCTGGGGCTGCATGAGCCCTGGCATTTGAGTATTTTGCTGAGCATGAGACTCCTGTTGGATCTGACTGGGAACAGAGGCCAGCCTAGCTGGAGGCTGGACAGTACCCTGGCCCATCATCTGAATGTCAACAGATGGGCCCTGGCTGTGTAGTGTCTGGGACTGATTAACTGTTGGGTGCAGAGGCTGAATTAATGGCTGAGCAGTTACCTGGCTCTGTGTGGGATTGACAGGTCCCGGAAAAGTAGACTGCAAAGGAATCTTCGGGGTCTGGAGGACCTGAGTCTGTCCTTGGATCATTGCCACTGGAGGAGTTATTTGGGTCTCAATCACAGCTTGTACTGCCTGTGCTGGTGACTGGGCTCTAAAATGGACTGGGATCTTACCCTGATTCTGGAGATGAGCCTCGCTTTGTCCTTGCTGGGTAAGGATTTGTGTTGGGACAAGAGAAGATGACTGGAAAGGGATCTGCATAGTCTGAAGAGCCAAGGGAACCTGAACCTGTGAGACAATTTGAGTTTGGTGCTGAATCATCTCATTACCAGATAGAGCTCCAGTTGGGATATGATGTTCCATTACAGAAGTGTGATGCTGTGGCTGGGCAACAAATGACTGCTGCTGCTGGATCAATGCTACTTGCTGCTGTTGCTCTATCACCTGCTGCTGTGTGAGAGTGGTATGAGGTGTAAACTGAGTGGCGTTTAGCTGTGGGATACACACGTGCTGTATATCAGCTGGTTGTTGCTGCTGAATTTGCTGCTCACTGTTAGGTTGTGGAACAGGGAGAGCCCCTTGTTTTTCAGTTTTCTGAAGCTGGATGATGGCTGCTTGCTGCTGCTCTTGAATCTGTTGCTGTATCAGAGCCCGTCTCTCAGCTTGTTGTTGTTGTGATAGAACTTGCTGCTGACACTGTTGTTCTAACTCTAACTGCAGCAGAGCTTGCTGCTGCTGCTGATCCGTCGGCTGTTTGAGCTGCATGTGTTGCTCCTCTTGTTGCTGTAGGTGTAGCTGAACTTTCGGTTGTAGCTGCTGCTGTTGTAAAATAGCCTGCTGGTGCAAATGCTGTTGTATGAGTACTTGTTGCTGTTGTTGCTCCATTTGTTGGAGTAAGGCTTGCTGCTGTAGTTGTTGTTCCTTTTGCTGTTGAGTCTGTTGGGATTGCTGCTGCAATACAAATTGTTGCTGCTGTTGTTTCTCTGATTCATTTTGTGCTCCAGCTTGGTGCAGCCCAGTTTGTTGATATAACTGGCTCTGGTGCTGTTGCTGCTGTTGCTCTAACTGCTGTTGTAAAAGTGCTTGTGGTTGCTGTTGTTGTACAAGACTTTGTGGTGGCTGCTGCTGCTCTTGTTGCTGTTGAATAAGAGCTTGTTGTTGCTGATCCAACAACTGCTTGTGCATAAGTGCTTGCTGCTGATCCAGTTGATGCTGTTGTAGTTGGGCCTGTTGCTGCTGTTGCTCTATCACCTGCTGCTGTGTGAGAGTGGTATGAGGTGTAAACTGAGTGGTGTTTAGCTGTGGGATACACACGTGCTGTATATCAGCTGGTTGTTGCTGCTGAATTTGCTGCTCACTGTTAGGTTGTGGAACAGGGAGAGCCCCTTGTTTTTCAGTTTTCTGAAGCTGGATGATGGCTGCTTGCTGCTGCTCTTGAATCTGTTGCTGTATCAGAGCCTGTTGCTGCAGTCTCTCAGCTTGTTGTTGTTGTGACAGAACTTGCTGCTGACACTGTTGTTCTAACTCTAACTGCAGCAGAGCTTGCTGCTGCTGCTGATCCGTCGGCTGTTTGAGCTGCATGTGTTGCTCCTCTTGTTGCTGTAGGTGTAGCTGAACTTTCGGTTGTAGCTGCTGCTGTTGTAAAATAGCCTGCTGGTGCAAATGCTGTTGTATGAGTACTTGTTGCTGTTGTTGCTCCATTTGTTGGAGTAAGGCTTGCTGCTGTAGTTGTTGTTCCTTTTGCTGTTGAGTCTGTTGGGATTGCTGCTGCAATACAAATTGTTGCTGCTGTTGTCCACTTTGCTGTTGTTTCTCTGATTCATTTTGTGCTCCAGCTTGGTGCAGCCCAGTTTGTTGATATAACTGGCTCTGGTGCTGTTGCTGCTGTTGCTCTAACTGCTGTTGTAAAAGTGCTTGTGGTTGCTGTTGTTGTACAAGACTTTGTGGTGGCTGCTGCTGCTCTTGTTGCTGTTGAATAAGAGCTTGTTGTTGCTGATCCAACAACTGCTTGTGCATAAGTGCTTGCTGCTGATCCAGTTGATGCTGTTGTAGTTGGGCCTGTTGCTGCTGTTGCTCTATCACCTGCTGCTGTGTGAGAGTGGTATGAGGTGTAAACTGAGTGGTGTTTAGCTGTGGGATACACACGTGCTGTATATCAGCTGGTTGTTGCTGCTGAATTTGCTGCTCACTGTTAGGTTGTGGAACAGGGAGAGCCCCTTGTTTTTCAGTTTTCTGAAGCTGGATGATGGCTGCTTGCTGCTGCTCTTGAATCTGTTGCTGTATCAGAGCCTGTTGCTGCAGTCTCTCAGCTTGTTGTTGTTGTGACAGAACTTGCTGCTGACACTGTTGTTCTAACTCTAACTGCAGCAGAGCTTGCTGCTGCTGCTGATCCGTCGGCTGTTTGAGCTGCATGTGTTGCTCCTCTTGTTGCTGTAGGTGTAGCTGAACTTTCGGTTGTAGCTGCTGCTGTTGTAAAATAGCCTGCTGGTGCAAATGCTGTTGTATGAGTACTTGTTGCTGTTGTTGCTCCATTTGTTGGAGTAAGGCTTGCTGCTGTAGTTGTTGTTCCTTTTGCTGTTGAGTCTGTTGGGATTGCTGCTGCAATACAAATTGTTGCTGCTGTTGTCCACTTTGCTGTTGTTTCTCTGATTCATTTTGTGCTCCAGCTTGGTGCAGCCCAGTTTGTTGATATAACTGGCTCTGGTGCTGTTGCTGCTGTTGCTCTAACTGCTGTTGTAAAAGTGCTTGTGGTTGCTGTTGTTGTACAAGACTTTGTGGTGGCTGCTGCTGCTCTTGTTGCTGTTGAATAAGAGCTTGTTGTTGCTGATCCAACAACTGCTTGTGCATAAGTGCTTGCTGCTGATCCAGTTGATGCTGTTGTAGTTGGGCCTGTTGCTGCTGTTGCTGTTGAGGCAGCGCTTTGTGTTGCTGTCGATCAAGCTGTTGCTGGACTTGTGTCTGATGTTGATCAAGAAGTAAAGGTTGTTGTCCTAAATGTTGCTGCTGCTGTAGCAGAGTTTGCTGTTGCTGGAGCCGTTGTTGCAATGTGGCCTGTTTGTTAACATCCCCTGCTGGCTGCTTTTTATAAGTCTGAGGTTGCTCTTCAGATAGTGGTAATAACATACCCTGTTGTTCCATGTCTGTTTGTGTAGGTAACACTTGGTGCTGAGGAGCTGGCTGGACAGGTGGCACAGGCTGCTGTACGTAGGTCTGCTGCTGTGGCTCGTGTGGATGTGTGTGGACAGCTGTAGCAGAAAGGCTCTGTTGATGCTGTTCCATTGGTGGCTGAGTGGCATTAACTTGTTGTTCAAGTAGAATTTGCTGTTGTGGCTGCTGCTGAAGGGTGGCAGTCTGGGGATCCATCCCAATCTGTTGTTGGACAATAGTCTGCTGAGGGATCATTACAGGATGTGCTTGCTTGGGTTCTGCCTGGGGAATGATGTCAGTGAACTGCATGGGAGTGGCAGGGGTTTGGGTCTGCTGAGTGAGGGGCACAACGGCCCCTACTACACCAACAGGATTACTGACTGACATAGGTGTAGTTAGAATATTAATGGGTGCTTGTGGGGAAACAGCAGGTATGTATGACTGTGAAGATGCCATTGATCCATGGGGAGTGGCAGTTTGAAATGCATCTGATAGGAATGTTTGCGCCTATTCAGTGATAATGATAGAATGATGATTGATGTGGAAAAAAGGGAAAAGAAAGCAGTACAAAATAGGTAAGAATAAGCTTTGCAAGAAGCATAAATTATCAAAACATTTAACAACAAGGCTTCCCACGGTGTTTTATAGCAGAGGTGGGCTGCCTTAAATGCAGACCACCACAGTTAAAGTTTAAAAAGGCAAATACAATTTTTTTCATAAAGTAAAAAGTTAACCTTCAGCTAAAATAAGCAGAAGTAATATTTCACATAGGAATACATTTATACATGTAAAGAGAAGTGTTATTAAAACAACACATCTCTCAACCTCCACTAACAAATATCCTAGGGAAACCCTGTAAAGCGTACAATCAGATCAGGTCAGTCTCGGAGAATTATAAATCCTGGAATTATTTGTGATTGTGGTTATCTGGAAGAAAAGATTCCACAATGGGACATTTTTATACAAGTTAGTACTATCACCCTTTTCACCTGAAAATATTGTTGAGGCACACTTGGTGATACCTGTGGAACCATGCCACTGGGCTGAAGAAATGGCTGACCAACAGGCCCCCCACCACTTTGGCCTATGGACATGCTGGACATATTAACACTCTGACCAAGAGGCACATTTGGGATGCTTCCACTCTCACTGATGGGGGGCATTTGAGAATGAACCAATGTGCCAGTGCCCTGTAGCACAAGAAAACAGTTAAGGAACAATACGATCTATCAACACCATGATTTCACGCAATAATGTGGTATTATTGGTATTATTATTATTATTATTATTATTATGTCAGATGAAAACAATGTTTAGACATACAGATGCTGTAGAGGGGAGACTAGTTTGGGAGTGGGTGTATGACTCCTCTTGTTGAGAGTATGCCTGGCTCTGTCCACCTGCATAAGTTTCACAGCTGGCAGACCCAATGCTCTCACCTTCTGAGTGAAAGACAATTTAAGAAGGGATATAAAAATGCGAACTACACATACAGTGGGTACGGAAAGTATTCAGACCCCCTTAAATTTTTCACTCTTTGTTATATTGCAGCCATATGCTAAAATCATTTAAGTTCATTTTTTCCCTCATTAATGTACACACAACACCCCATATTGACAGAAAAAACACGAAATTTTTGACATTTTTGCAGATTTATTAAAAAAGAAAAACTGAAATATCACATGGTCATAAGTATTCAGACCCTTTGCCCAGTATTTAGTAGAAGCAGCCTTTTGAGCTAATACAGCCATGAGTCTTTTTGGGAATGATGCAACAAGTTTTTCACACCTGCATTTGGGGATCCTCTGCCATTCCTCCTTGCAGATCCTCTCCAGTTCTGTCAGGTTGGATGGTAAACGTTGGTGGACAGCCATTTTCAGGTCTCTCCAGAGATGCTCAATTGGGTTTAAGTCAGGGCTCTGGCTGGACCATTCAAGAACAGTCACGGAGTTATTGTGAAGCCGCTCCTTCGTTATTTTAGCTGTGTGCTTAGGGTCATCGTCATGTTGGAAGGTGAACCTTCGGCCCAGTCTGAGGTCCTGAGCACTCTGGAGAAGGTTTGCGTCCAGAATATCCCTGTACTTGGCCGCATTCATCCTTCCCTCGATTGCAACCAGTCGTCCTGTCCCTGCAGCTGAAAAAACACCCCCATAGCATGATGCTGCCACCACCATGCTTCACTGTTGGGACTGTATTGGACAGGTGATGAGCAGTGCCTGGTTTTCTCCACACATACCACTTAGAATTAAGGCCAAAAAGTTCTATCTTGGTCTCATCAGACCAGAGAATCGTATTTCTCACCATCTTGGAGTCCTTCAGGTGTTTTTTAGCAAACTCCATGCAGACTTTCAGGTGTCTTGCACTGAGGAGAGGCTTCCGTCGGGCCACTCTGCCATAAAGCCCCGACTGGTGGAGGGCTGCAGTGATGGTTGACGTTCTACAACTTTCTCCCATCTCCCGACTGCATCTCTGGAGCTCAGCCACAGTCATCTTTGGGTTCTTCTGTACCTCTCTCACCAAGGCTCTTCTCCCCCGATAGCTCAGTTTGGCCAGACGGCCAGCCCTAGGAAGGGTTCTGGTCGTCCCAAACGTCTTCCATTTAAGGATTATAGAGGCCACTGTGCTCTTAGGAACCTTAAGTACAGCAGTTAAATATATGAGTGTCACAGCAAAGGGTCTGAATACTTATGACCATGTGATATTTCACTTTTTCTTTTTTAATAAATCTGCAGAAATGTCAAAAATTCTGTGTTTTTTCTGTCAATATGGGGTGCTGTGTGTACATTAATGAGGAAAAAAATGAACTTAAATGATTTTAGCATATGGCTGCAATATAACAAAGCGTGAAAAATTTAAGGGGGTCTGAATACTTTCCGTACCCACTGTATTTGTCCAAGTCAGAATACACATAGTCACAGTATTTTGCATTTGTTTATTTGAACTTCTATGTCCATAATTTATAATAATAATAATTCATGCAGAGTAGTGTCTTATTGGCTCACAATGTACCTTTCTAATAAACATATAGTATCATGAAGGTGAATATTCTACCTGGTAGACCAAGGGCTGTTGCACTAAAAATATGTTGCTGTCTGACATGCTGGTCCACTTCAGACAGCTCCTCACACTCCTGTCCTCCTCCTCCTCCTCCTCCTCCTCCTCCAGTCTGTCCAGCTGCCCTTGGCCCCAGTGAGGAGTATGATGGATGGGAAAAGGTGTCAGAGGTGAAAGTGGAGTCTCTTCTTTCTTCAAAACCCTGTTGCTGCTGTAGACGCTGCTGCTGTCGACGCTCCCGTGACTTTTTGATCTGATTTACTCTGTCCCGAATGGATTTTCCCACCACCTTGGCATCGCTCTCATGGAAGAAGCCTGACTTCACCTGTGATGAGGGAGAGGGAGGGAGAGAGAGCTGATTAATTAATGGCTAGAGACAGGTTGAAACTAGGTCAGAGAGATGTACCTTGAAATAACTAAAGGATTTTATTCACCCGACCATCCTTTAAGCTTTAAAGCATCTAAGCCTTTTTCCCAGTCTACCCTACACCATACCTGACCCCCAAGAGCCCCCTTTCTATTTGTCAGTCATAGGTTTTCCCTGTCTCACCATCTCTAGAGCCACCTCTTCGGCGCTATCATTCTCCAGGTCATAACTGAATTCGATGGCCTCATTGTCTTTGTGCTTCCCCTTTAGCTTCTTGGGTTCTTCAACCCAAATCCGGAGAGCTAGAAAGTCCTGGATGCCTGTATCCTCCTCTGCCAGCTCCACCCGAACCCCTGTATCCTCCCCAAAGAACGCATGGTTCAGGAGGTCTCTGATGGAGAGTCTGTTGAGGGAAACACAATAAAAGGGACAGGAGTGGTGAAACAGACAGCAGATGTTTTATGATTGCCTGATCAGAAATTCTGCAATAGACAGTGCTGTTTGTCCTGTTAAGAAAGTAAAAGCGCTTACCTCTGACTCTTGTTCTGACGAATGCAGCATTCAATAATCTCTTTAATCTCTGGATCATTGACTTTATCAAAGCTGGCTGGCTTTATGCCCTGCAGAGAAAGAAATGGGAAATTAATTGTATTTAACAGGAAATGATGGAATTAGGCTCTGGGATTTTGTATATAATAACTGAAGGTATTTTTGCCAGTTAGTTGGACAACATTTAAATAAAAATTATTAAAGAGGTCTACACTTATCACCACAAATGTTCACTGTTTGTATGAAAGTAACAGTTTGAGAGTTTATATGAACTGAAAAAAACTCACACTTGTGACTTTGCGATAAATCTGAGCTGCATTTTGGCACTCAGAGTAGGGGTATTCTGAAGTAGCCATCTCCAGCATGCACATCCCAAACGCGTAAACATCCACAGACTCATCATAGTGCTCTTCATACATCTCTGGAGCCATGAACTCTGGTGTTCCTGTTAAGACCAGATGGTGGTTCATAGTCACTTACTTTAAAGTGCTTGAGAGTTGTGTTCTTGGAAAAGTATCTGTCAGTGGGCACATCACCTGGGCTCTGCAGCTGTTCCCTTAGTGAGGAAGTGCCTAGCTTGCGGCTATCAAACCCTAACACTTTTTGGCACTATTTAAAAGCAACATTGTTCTCACTGTCTATAACACCACAAAATTTCTTCCATAGGTCCGATCTTGGCCTTAAATAATGTTTTGTGCACAGTTTTGTATTCACCACTAGCTATTTTCACTTCTAGGTTATCCAGTTTGACACACTGACGCCTACGTTGATGTCTGAGTGACGTTATGCTAGCTGGATGTGAGTTGAGGCTTCAAAGTTTGTGCCATAATAAATATATCGGTATTTTAGGTTTGATAAAATTTTGCTGGATAAGATGTTTAAACAAAGCTGGACCTCATCACTGGTCTGTTTACATTAAGTGCTGCCCAAATGGAGTTTAAATTGATTTTGTCAATAATAATCTATACTCCTAGACAGTTGAGGCTGTAAAAATCTGTGCAATGCTGAATACAAAGAAAATTTCATTTATACAGTAGATCTGGACTCAGTTTGCTGATGTAGTCACTGCATCCCTGGCATTGTTTGCAAAAGAAGCTGGTTTATTTATGTAGCCTACCTATGACACTCTTGGCAAAAGAGGTCCTCATAAGAGTGGCCAGTCCAAGGTCACCTATTTTGACTGATCCTGTGGGGCCTGTGATGAAGATGTTGTCACACTTCAGGTCCCGGTGGACAATTGGAGGAGTCCTGGTATGAAGGAAGTGAAGGCCCTTCAGGATTTGCCTACACCAACTCCTCAGCACTTTGGGTTTCATTACCTTAAAGCGCTTAAGATAACTGTGCAGAGAGAGACAAAATAAGATGATATAATAATAATTAGTCATGGCACTTCACTTGAATCACATTATCCATCCATTATCTATACCGCTTATTCCTTAGGGTCACAGGGGGGTGAGAGGCAGGGTACCTGGACATGTCACCAGTCTATCACAGGGCTAACATGTAGACAAACAACCACACACATTCACACTTACTCCTGGGGGTAATTTAGAGTCTCCAGTCAACCTAAGCCACATGTCTTTGGACTGTGGGAGGAAGCCAGAGTACCCGGAATGGACCCACACAGACAGGCCCCGGTTCGGTCTAGGCTCAAACCCAGAATCTTGTTGTTGTGAAGCAGACAGTACTAACCACTGTACTGCAAGTTCTTTCTAACATTAGTTTAGTTTGAGGTTTATAAAAAAACAAACATAAAATAAAATAAAGTAAAGAGTGAGAGAAAGACAGAAATGTAAAACTTTAATACAATTTAATTTTTCATTTAAAAAAAGCTATAAAATTTTTGTGCCTGCTGTCAATTACAGTTTTTAAATGAAAGTAAACTGGAATCAACCAAAATAGGAATCAGCAGGTCAGACCTAAAAATAAATAAATAAATAAATAAATAAAATTTGGAAATCTCAATCGGTCCAGAAAATTGCAGTCGGTGCATCTCTAATTTAGACTGATTAGATTATTTTTCTTCCCCATCAAAATAAGTGATATTGAGTGAATAATAATAGATATAAGGAGGTTTTACTTACGTTTTGAGTGTTCCTGAAGTCATGAGTTCAGTGACCAGTACGATGCACTTCTTGCCACGAAGAACTGATTCCCAGGAATCATAGAAGCGGACAATGTTAGGATGCTGAAGCCCCTTCAACATTTCTGCCTCTTCCTTGAAGCGTTGCTGTTCTGCCTTGGTGAGCTTGCGGTCCTGAGATGAGAGTTACATATCAAGTCACATGTCATGAATGTGATCATTTGTTTCTCTTTTTTACTATAAAATGCAAACGTTGCTTTGTTTATTTCTGTGTGCCATGCTAGAATTCTATTCAGAGCCCCAAAACCTCATAGGCTACCTACTACTGCATAAACACAACTGTGCAATAACACCTGCTGCCAGTAGATGGTACTAGCAATACAGAGTTCCAACACTGCTAAGACAACACCCAAGCCTTAGCTTTATAAAACATATTTCTACTGCATTTGTCACACATCCACATCTCCAGTATGGTGAAGAGAATGGATGAGGCAGACATCCAATTCACTGGCACAAGCAGCATCCCACAGGAACAAAGACATCCACTGACTAATCCCTATGTTAAACACCAGTGAATAGATTATTTATAAGGTCAAAAACTCATGCAAGGAAGGTATTATGTTCTGCAGTAAAAAAAAAAAAAACTTGCATTATATCTGGTATGTCCTTCTAAATCCAATGCTGCTCTCATCAATAACATCTGCTATATACAGATAAAACAATACTCATATAAATGACCGAAAAACCAAGTCAAAAGAAACTGCATTGATGAATATGCAAGTGATGTGACATAACACTAAAAAAATTAAACAACATTGACAATCAAAGGATTTTAGAGTGGAGAAAAACCTGACTGGCTGTGCTAAATCAGTGGCTATTATTAGACGTGTGTCACAAACAACAGTTGTCTGCTATTTCCATGTGGACAAAAAAACTGGGTATTTCAGGTGGGTTTTTTGGTTTTTGTTTTTTTTTTTTACCTGTGTTGACCTTTTAACCTGCAATTTGAGTACCTTTTGTCAGTGGTTTGTATTTACCAGCAGCTAACCTTCATCCATTTATGGAGAATCAAATTATAAGGAAAAAAAAAAAACAAAACAATGTGTCTGCGAGGGAGTCGGATGGCAGCCACTGACGTGTCACAAACAGACCTCACTATATATATAAAAGTCATAACACTGGTTTTCCACCGATCGATTCCATTGATGTTGAGCTTTTGGATTTAGGCTACACGAAGCTCCCCAAAGGGAGGCAGTATACTGCAGATGTTTGGATGCAAATAAAGAGATTTTCATGTAATGCTTGTCTGTCACTGCATGCTTCTGTCTACAGTATATATTCATTTTTTAGGCTGTGCTCTTTCTTGTGCCTCTGCTTCTCTTCATCCCTGTGTCTGTGCTTCAGCTCTTGTTCTCTGTGGCTACACTGGTTCAGTATCCTTTTCTGGAAGTACTGGTGAAGGCAGTTCCTCTGCCCCTCCCCTCTCAACAGGCAAGTTGCATCAACAGAAAGGCTTCTCCTCTTTGCACTGTTACGGCTGAAAATATGTTACCCAGCTTAAGCCTGTCCTCATACCTTAATTCCTTTAACAACTACCGCAAATACCTTTTGTCAATATGTGTATGCATCCTTATTCAATTGTACAGTATGTGTGTATATGACCATGTGCAGGTGTGTCTGTCCACGCTTCCGTCTCAATGCTGCCTGTCTCTACATCTATCCATATCTACATGTGTTTTCTGGTGTGTTTTATTTTGCAATGCAGTACTGTCTCTCTTTGGATACCTTTGTTTTCTGTCTGCATCACTGGCACAACATAACATTGCATTGTGTCCCTATCTGTTGCCTCCTCAGCGTCTATTGCTTCTCCTTCTGAGTGTCGCATTAGACAGCCTTAGGGTCAGCATAGGTCACAAGGAGTTCAGTTAGTGAGCTTGTGTCCAGACAGACTCACATCAATCTTTTCTCCACCACATACTCACTCATACACATGCATACCCATATCCACACAAGCAGAGGCAAAGCAACAACATCTCTAGATAACAGGTAATCTAGAGACACACTTGCAAGTGTGTCTTTAATAAGCCACATTTCTCTTTCTTACTGACAAAACTGCTAAATACACACACATATATAATGCTGTTAGGAGGCACAACTCACACTGAACTATAGTAATTGATTTTATTCTTATTTTGGCCACAGAATGTGGACAGACTGCCGAGATCACCTTACAAAAATGTGGCAGCCTTTACAATAGAGGAACACAGCATCAATAAAAATTATACATTAGTATGTTCACAAATGTAGTAGTTATTGCACGCCCAGTAATTGTAACTAATTACTATACACTTTTGGGTGTTCCTGTTATTTTGTCCACACCTGCATGATCCATTTGGTCATATAATGTCTCTGTTACATGGTGTCTCTGTGGCAGGAGCCCAAGTATGGTAACTATGTAAACAGAGTAAGACCATGAGGTCTTTTTTTGGATCAGACATCTGGTGGAACAGAAGGTCAAGTTGCAGGTTAGGGACCATTATTCTTTCTATAGCTGGATATTTCTGAGGGTGTATATACACATTAATATGTGTTGCTCTGTAGTGTGGAAGTAAACATGTCAGCATCTGAAAATGTGAGGTGGCGGGTGGCAATGATTAGATTACTATAAACTACAATAGCTCAGACTAACAAGATAGATTGCTGGTAAAGGGCTGGCCTGCATGTCGGATTAGAACTCAAGACTAGCGGGCCAAGTTCACTAACCTTTCTAGATTCCTCTAGCCAAAACAATACACTAGCTTTTTTTTTTTTTAGGTGACCACATATCAGCAGGAGGTCTTTATATCTCAGTGTTTTAGGGTCATGATACCAGTGTTACAGTGGTAAAGGCAACTTCACTGATATAATGTAACCAGTCAACATGAAGATACACAGCTTCAGGGCTAAGAAACCATACATCAGGTTTTCCTTATGTATTATTTAAAAAAAATCTATTCATATAAACTCAGTTGTCAGTTCATTAGGTACACCTAGCTAAAACTAATGCAGTCAATACCACAGTCCTGGAACAAATCCTCCCTCCATTAAGGTGTTAAGGGTCAGTTTATGTTTTAAGCCCGTTTACACAAAACTTAAAAAGCCGGCAAAATGCCACTTCAGTGTTCCTTTTACACAGCTGCTGGAATCCCAGTACTAGAGGTGTGATGCTATCATGACGTCCAGTGGTCGATGTAATTTGCGGCCAATATGAAAACGAAACAAGTAGGCTGTTATCTGATTTAATTTAAAATATTTAAAAATGGAAATCGGGAATTACACTAGCCTACTATATGTGCATCCAGTTTCAGTTCTGTGTGTCTGTTTGATGACAGACAGAAGCATGCATTTTGGCTGCATCCACACAAAATCCTTCCTACAAGGTCCTACAGAGGTGTAGCTGTGTTTGTTTGTGCTTTAGCATGTAACCACAATTAAAGTAATACAAAATAAAGTTTTAACTTTCTGATTCATGTTGTTCTTGCTGATGCTGCTCTCTCTCCTCATTCATTCTCAAGCTCTCTCTCCCTCACATGGATCTCAGAACCCCTATTCTGCCTTGTCCACTTTATACTCATCTTGGTAAAAATACTACCTCTCACTGCAGCATTTTGGAGGGCCAACTTTGACCCCTCATTCACAGACTGTATCTTTCACACGGAGCAGCGAGGAGAAAATTTCCCACATTGAATGGGCAGTGTAAAAGAGGCCTTGGACTGACATGAATAGCAATCACATAATATTTGAACATGACTGCTTCAGATTCATTGATTTCTGACTAGACTATACAGTTAATGCTAATGTTATAATGTCTCAAGCATGTAGTAGCAACTGAATCTCAACTGCTTGTTAGATAATGAACACTGTGCTGTGGGAGGATGACACAGCGTGAGGGATACTTGTCAACTGTGTGCATGAGTTGAAGACATATCTGCTCAGTGCAGCTGTAGTCCATTTGATATAACTTCTGCTCATTTTAGACACCCTTCAATAGCCTGTCTTTGCTTTACCTGGCCTACACCAACTGGTCTTTAATGATGAACAACCAAGGTCACCACACCCAACCCCTTTCTTATTGTTATTTGATACACTGTCCCAAACAATTACGACCAGATAACAAAATAACTTTTCTATACACGAAAAAGTAGTCTAGAACCCTTTCACCAGAGGGGGTATTTCTTATCAAAGTGTAGGAAAACAACTATACTTTCTAGCATGAGACACACAGCTGGTAGCAGCCACAGCTAATCTTCCAAACCTAGTGAATCACTGAGTTACTGCCAGCTGCCAATTTTGGGGTCTCAGGTGAACAAGGGGTCTAGACTCTAGACCACGTTTCACAAGGGCTGCACACTGACTTACGATTTTAATATAACCCTCAGTCATTTGACAGTCAGAGTCAAAGTTCTTAAATACCCTTAGTAAGGATTTTACTAGAAAGCATGCACAATGTTTTTACAGGAGTAGGCTGCCTCCTAAAATGACATTTACCTGCAGATATAAATCCAAAAGGCTTTTGAGCAAAATGTAAAATTACCAAATAGTTAAGGTCATCATCATGGTAACCAGGAAGCTGTAGTTACTCCAATATGAACACTGATCTAATGTTAGTGTGGCTGGGTGGGCTGAGCTGAGCAGGACCAGTCTGTTATGACTGGGTTGAACCAGTTTGGTTTCTGCCACCCAAGTTATGCCATTTGTGCAGGGTTTTTGTTGCAGCCTGACAAGCAACCGCTGTAATTAACTCCCTGGATCACTCTGCATGCTCAGTCACACAGACAAAAAGTGATGGGGGAGAGATGGATGTGAGAGAGGAAGAGAGAGAGAGGGTGACAGGGCAGAAGCATATGTTAACAGAGACAGAGAGCAACAGCTTGCACACAAAAATGTAATGCACATACAAGACACATACTAATGTATCTGTATACAACTGAAGCAGTAGCGAAAGAGATAAACACTGTAGTTTGGCTCGTTTAGGTGTTCTCAGGTAAGGGGAGTGGAAAGAAGAGAGATGGTGTCCACACTGTGAACTTTAATTAACCATTCTTTCAAGCTGCATTTGGACAGCTAATCCCCTGGCTTCCCACTCTTTGGGGACACAAGAGGAGAGGAACTAGGTGCTCCCAGGCTGCAGTCTCATAGGATAGTGGACTAGAAATAAATCAAATAGCGCAATGGCTCGACATACATGCTGTATGAAACATTTCATAGACTGTCTGTGGCTTTATGGAATTATAATACATGTGCAGAATTTGTTTGTTGTCTGTTTAATGTGACATGCACTCATAATTGGAAATGGCTGCTGTTTGGATTAATGTTTGCTTCAACTCTACCATTATCAACACAGCAAGCTTTTCTTATAGTATCATTATTATTCTGATCACTTTGAACAGCTGACTGAATCTTTATTTCAGATTCTTATATGGGTTCATAGCAAGTAATTAAAATAAATAAAAATAATAAAAGCAACAGGTGAGCAATTAAACATATACTAATAAAAAAAACACAAAAACATTCCATTTTACTGCCACTCTGCACTGAAACTGTGTACAAGCTTTGGTAAGGTGAAGTAAACAGGACAGATTATGTGACCCGAGAGAATAGGACACTGCACTGAATGTGGCAATGGATCAATCTCTAGGCGTGTGACCAGGCCACTGTAAACTGTCTGTGTGCATGTGTGTGTGTGTGTGTTCGTGTGTTTCCCCGCATGTGGTAACTTAGCATCAGCTACACAACTGCTCTCTGAGAGGGATGCCATGGTAATCCTCAGTTTGGCTCGTTGTTTCCCCCTCAGTCTCTCTCACACGCCATCACCTCCTGTGTCTCTCTTTCCTTTCTCACACA